ATCTGTGCAAAGCCTTCTTTCTAATTACATCTTTCCAAGGAAAACTAAAAACCATTCTTTAAAACCATGAGGCAGTCCTATTATGGTGACTTTCGCTCCTCGATCTCATTCACAGACAGTGAGATGAATGACCCGCCTTCATCTTTGGCGGCCTCAGCTTTCTATCTCCCCAGGTGACACACTGGGCAGGCTCCCCGAAGGGCAGGCGGGAATGTTGAGCCCCTGCAGGGTCACCCCACTAGAGTTCCTCACGCTTTGGCTCTTTTATGGCTGGAAGGAACAAACATCCATGCGCCTTACTGTGAGAAATTAATTCGTGAGTAACTTAACAGTTTAGTAGTGGAAATACATTACTGGAGTTTTTCATTCATCTGTGAAAACCTCAGAATTGTGATGCACACTAAGCATTAGCACAGGTCTGCAGCTGAGGTGGAAAGGCGCACACATTAATACAAGGGCTTTTGTCCTTGGTTTTCAAATTCAGACCAGGCATCATTGAGCTCCATGAAAATCATCTTTGCATACTGTTCATACGGTTGCCCGGTTGCCTGCAGAAGAAAATGGAAACACACATTAGTCCCACAGCAGAACTGTACTTGTATTCACTGCTGCTATGGATTCTACGTAATGGAAAGCACTTCTGTTAAGATGCTCCATTCTTACGGCACAGGCCAGCGACAGCAGTCCTTGCAGAGCCTGCAGTCAGTGATCACAAACATCGGCCGCAGCAGTACGTGTGCCACAGTCTGCCGCTGCTGGCCTAGTGGACTTACTCTGGCCGCCTTCTAACGCCATCCCGCTGGAAATGCAAGTGGGGGCCAATTATCCCTCAGTAAGTGGACAACAGAGACTTCCCGGGTGGCAAAGCTCATCCCCAACCTCCAGAGTTTCTACCAAACAACAAAGTCCACTGACAGCTTGTCTGCCACGGATTTATTTGTCCTTCCCGGTACCAGGAATCGACCTCAGGACCTCACACTTGCCAGGCAGGAGCTCCGCCCCCGAGCTACATCCCCAGCCCATGGACTGTATTTTTAAACCACAATTTTCCAACTTCTAAAAAAGTTAAGCTCTTGGAGTGTCGTAACAGGGTTATATAGTTTGTGGATTTTTGTAGGTTTCCATTTCTCTTTCAAGTGATCAAAATTCAAGAAAGTTGTTTCTCATGACATCTTCTATCCAAAGTTATCATTATAAAAAACACAATGGAGAAAAAAAAGCAGTGGAGAGAAGGAAACCATGGGATCCCCGCGTGGCACCAAGAGGCCCTTCAGGCATAACTTGGCATCACGCGATGGGGACAGTTCATGTGACAGCGGTTCGTGAATTAGGGTGACTCCGCCAGGCCATGGGTAACGGACGCTTCCAGCAGTGTACGTGCATGCGTGTGCTGATGGACACACGTGCCGGCAGAATCACAGGAATGATGGGTTTGGTTTTATTTGTAAAATTTCATCCATGACAACTTTTGCCAGCTACGTTCTAGAGCCCTGACAGTACCATCCTGGCTAAACAGACTGTTGTTTCTCCCAAGGGAAACGTTTCCTTTCTCATTTGCCAGGGATCGACCCCCATCGTTGCACTTGCCTAAGCAGGCGCTTTAGTCCACTGAGCTATCTGGCTAGCCTCTTGTAATTTTTTTTTTTTTTTTTTTGCAGAACCGGGGATTGAACTCAGGCCCTTGTGCTTGCCAGAGAAGCGCTTATTCCACTGAGCCATCTCTCTGGCCCCTGCCTTGTAATGTTTTAATACATACTCATAAAGTAACAAAGACAGCTGGGTGTGGCAGCACACACCTGTAATACCAGCACTCAAGAGGCTGAGGCAGGAAGTTTGCTGCAAGAAACAAAAGAAGAAATGCTACAAACATGCTAGCGGCAGAGGCAGTACCCACCTTGTCCGGGTGCACCACCAGCACGGCCTTCCGGTACACCTTCTTCACCTGCTCGGGCGTCACCAGGTCCGCCATGCCTACAGGTTTCCACTTGGTCTCCCCAGCCCACAGGACTGTGTGCATTGTGGAAAGAAGGGCCCTGATATTCCTCTCCTTGCCTTCTATCCATTCCAGGATCTGGAAACACAGAGGAGGTTGAGAGACAGAAATGCTTTCTGCTCCTGAAAGTTTTGCCAGGACTCAAGGTCCTGGGTGCAAGGACCTCTGGCTGTGCTGGAAAGGAGCGATGCACAATGCCCAGTGCTCTAAGTCAAGGCAGCCCCAGCTGAGGCAGCCAGGGCCTGGGCTGCTGCCACCCCCCAGACCAGAGCAATAAAGCTACCAGCCCTTGAGATGAGACAGGTCTCCTAACTGACAAGACTTATTACTTGGAGAAGTCTTTGAACAGACTCCCAAGGTCCTGCTCTGTTCCCACCTTGCCTCAGTATCCCCTTCCTTTGTTTGAAATAAATATGGGCTGCCCAGAGTTCTTTGTTCTTTGTCTCAACCCCCAAGGAATAGAGAATCCCGTCACGGGGTTTTGACCTCTCTTGCGCCCTAAAATCATACGACTCTCTTAGTTAAGCCGTCCACTCACTCAGGAGATTGGGGCTGGGCCACGACCCCAGTAGCCTTGTGCCAGTCGCTGACCAGTCAGAGACGCGCACAGCAGCAGGCGGGAAGCTCCTGGGCTTACCCAGCCACCCACTGAGAGCGCAGTTTCTGTCCTGTGAGGCAGTTGGGGACCCAAGAGCATTTCTGCTAAAGTACAGCAACTCCTCGCTCAGCCACAGATGTTTCACCAGTGACCAACACCAGAACAAAGCCTCGCCTGCGCTTTGGATCTGTCTCCATCATCTCTAAACTGGCTCAGACCCTGCTCAGCCCTGCAGAGAGGGTATACTCTAAATGTTGGCAAACCCAGGTTGCTGAGCTCTGAATCAACCCATCTCTTCTCCCTGCAAGACTGAAGACGCCAAGATGAGAGACTTGCAGGGGCATTCAAGCATGGACACAGGCCCAGAGGCCTCCGGCACTGCCCTGCACCGGTGGCCACCGTGGGTTGCAGCAGAGCCCCCACAAGACTGGGCTCCCCCATGAGCAGTCAGCTCTTGGCCCTGGATGGCTCCCCAGGGGACAAGGACTTCTCCCAGTGCCATCCTGCCAAGCCAGAGCTGAGATGGTGGCCAGCTAGACTCCTGCCCGCTCCTTCAAGGCTGGCCTTGCTCTTCTGCCCCTGGCCAGGCCGCTGCTCTTCATCAGAGCTGTGTGCTCGTGAGTGTCCCAAACCATATTCCTTCCCTACTTTCTATGACTTTCCAAGCCTGTCTAGAAAATCTGCCCAAGCCTCACACCAACGCCACTTGAAATGCTTTCCTGCAGTGAGGCGCTGACAAACCCAGTCATGAGGTGAGTGGAGGTTCCATCTCATGACAGTGCCACACCCATGACTTGTCACATGACCTGTCCCACAGCGTTTCACACCGAGGGAGGGCTCGCTCACCTTTAGCTTTTCCGGATCCATCTCCTTGGCCATCTCCTCCTTCCGCATCTCAGCTATCGTGCGAGGCCCCTTCTTGTCTTTGTGAGCATTGAAGCCCTGACTTGACAGCAGGTCTTCAAAGTCGGCTGCTTTTTGTTTCCCTTCTGCAACGTAATTTTTGAAAGTCATTGTAGTTTTTTATTTTGAAATTGAGTTATCACATCACAGCCTCATAGGGCTCAGGGTCTTCAAAGTGCCTCACAGGCGACAATCCCCTGAGCCCTTCCAATTACACTCTGAGTAAGAAAAACAATTCTCACGTCCACTTCACAGACATGGAAAAGGAAGTGCAGGCAAGTGAAGAGCCCTGTGCAGGTCGCGTGCATGGCAGGGTCAGGGCTGTGGTGGGATCTTTAGACCCAACCCCGTTTCCCTCGTGCGTTTCTTTAGATGAAGATATTTGTGATTTCTCCGTCATAACAACTTAGTGCCGGGGAAGTGACGGGCTTGCAATGCGTGCAGGGATGCCTTCCCTACCGCGCCAGCTGAGGGTACCAGCTGACCCCAGCCCTCCTTCCCTATGTTTTTGGTTGTGGCCTTGCAATCTTCCTCAGTCTACCAGGAGAGACAGCCTAGCAGGGTGGCAGATAGTGGGCTGAGCCCCACAGGGTGAGTTCCAGCTCTGCCCTTAGTGATGCAGCCTCAGGCAGGCTACTTGCCGTGTCCAGCACGGCCATCACACTAGTGCTGCAAAGACACCTGTGTCACAGCAAGGGATGTGGCAGTGCCTGGCAGGTTCTGCAACCGGGTATCTAGGACTGAAGTCTTAGCTCTGCCGCTAACAAGTTGTATAGACTTAAGAAGTTAATCCTCAGATTCTTCATACAAGGGGGAGTTTGTTTTAAAGGATATACAAAATAACATGAAAACACGAGTAATGTGAATAATGCCTAGGCCAGCAGCTCACAGGTGAGCTCAGTAGGACCCAGCAAGTGTCAGCTGCTGCCTTACCACAGAGAGAGGCCTGTCCCCTGCTCTTATTCCCGTGCATCTCACTGCAGGGTCTGATCATAAGAAAGATCCTTAATAATAGGACACATGCACCCCTCTCATGGGGCCCATGGAAAATCCAAATGCAGCCCGGAAAGGGGCCCCACTTTTTCTCCCATCCCATCTCCCAAGAACAACCACTTTAAATCCTAGGCCCTGCTCCCCAGCATTACTGCCCAGTACACACTAAGCGCTCATCTCTGATAATAATGTGACAAACAGAACATGGCTCCTTCCTTCCACTGCACTCTAGTCAACAGACAAGTGAACCAGCAGGCACCAAGTGGCAACAGGGGTTCACCACCGTCACTCAACTTCAGAGGTTAGGAGTGGCCAGCAGATCAGGGGGCACAGCTAAGTGTGCATGAATGATTGGCATCCAGCTGAGCAGATGGAACGGGGAGTCCCGCACAGAGGTGGGCGGCCCTGACCAGCAGGTGGCTGGCCTAGATGGAACAGAAAGGGAAAGCGGCAGCAGCCGCACTCCTGCAGGGCCCCAGTCTGCGGCGCTGCGGCCTCTGGGCATCAGTCTCAGCTTCTTCCGTCACTGGTGGCTCTGCTGGGAGCTTCCGGGCCTTTCGACCTGAGCTGGTGCTGCATCCTTGAGCCTTCTCGTTCTTCGGCTTCCATCTTGGGCAAAGCAGCTGGTGGGTCCTCTGCTTCTCAGGACACAGCTGGCCCGTGCGTGCGGACTGTGCCTCTCACCCATGATAAATCCCCTGGCGCAGCCCTGCATCATTCTCTGTGGATTCTGTCCCTCTAGAAATCCCAGCTAACGCAACATGTTTGGAATCACAGCGCGCCCGGGGTGCCCTGGGTAGAGCACAGAGGAGGGGGCCTCGCGGCACCTCCACAAGCATGAGTTTGCCTTGGAAGCCACTGGATTTGACCTCCAGACACACAAGTCCAGGCATGGTGAGGCACCACCCACCATCCTTACCCAGATTAGCGGGTCCTTTCCCGCGCTCACTCTGGCTCCCGGGCACGGAGGAGAAGCTCACGTTGTAGTTGGGCCGGTTCTGGGGCGAGGAGTGCGGCATGCTGGGCTGCGGCTTGGACTGCGACTGCTGCCAGCCGTAGCTACCGCCTTGCTGCCACCCAGTGCCCATGGGCTGGGGAGATGCCTTCTGCGGTGAGCTGAGGGGTGGGAATCCTCCGCCCAGGCCAGTTGGCGTGGTGGGTTTGCTGGCAAATGAAGAGCTGCCTGCGGGAATATAAGGGAGGAAAGGATGTCATGGTTTAGATTTAGAAAGTCCCCAGGTCTCTGTGCTCATCAGTGGCTCATTAACAATGACTGTGCTGTCAGGAGGCAGGGCCTAGTCAGAGGCAGAGCTGGGGCCATGGCCCGAGTGGCTTATTGCTCCTGCACCTCCTCCTCCCTGCTCCTGGCCACCCCGGGCTACCTTGGAGCCACAGGCCATGGACTGAGCCCAGGGAACCATGGGCCAAATAAGCTCCTCCTCCTTCAAATCCAGGCATCCAGGACTTCATTCCAGGGATGGGAAAGTGACGCATGTAAGACTCTGACATTTGCATCTCGAGGGATCGTGCATAGTGACCTTAGCGGAAGCCCCCTTCACCTGAGAACCCTTCCTAGTAAATACACACACAGTAGGCGGATGTTATTTCTTTGATCCCCACAGCAGCTACTTAGGTCTGTGTTCATTTCCTATTTTTGTCAGATGGACAACAGCCACTTAAGCAAATTCTTTTGGAATCACATGGCCAGCACATGGCAGCCCCAGGACTTGAGTCCCGTCCTTTGACTCCACACCAGATGAGCTGTGGCTCCTCCCACGGTCGCTTCACCCACCTCCTCACCTTCTCTTACGTGAAAACTACCACATGACGAAGGCAGGAACTACACACTTTATGTAGGTGCCACTTACACTCCAGTGATCACGATCAGTCGCTGATTTGTGGAAGTGACAGAGGTCAAGGTCAGAAAGGTTTTGGACAAGCTCGCGCTCACAGAGCTGCTTACTGGGGCTCAGCCTGGCCACAGCCCCACCTCATTTCTCCACCAGAAATCCTGTTCCTCCCCAAGGCTCCGAGCCCTTGCTGCAAGCCATCTTCACTGTCCTCTGCTCGCGCTTCTTCCCCCTGCTGTGCCTCTGGGGTGCCTCTCCTTCCCCTCACGAAGGCTGTATTGTGGCCTCCGGACTTGGACCCAACCGTGCTGAAGCCTCACATGCTGAAGCCCCGGCTCTCGCACTCAGCCACTGCACCTTCTTGTTTCCATGCGTTCATTCACCAGGGCCTGCTGAAGCTCTACCGTGCACTGGGCACTAGGCATGTACATAAAACATTCTTTCAAATCTGGGCGAGAGACTTCACCCCGTTGAGCCTCAGATTCCCATTCTGTGAAATGAAGTCTATATTCATATCCTAACAGTACTGCAGACACAGTAATGGTGTGGGCGCCATGCAGCTCCCGCCTGCAGCAGAGGTGCTCCGTACTACACCAAGGCAGAGGCCTGCGCAAGCACAGGCCAGTGCATCGTAGGCAGCAAGAGACACACGGAAACAGAAGGGGACAGCAGCGGGCTGGCTCCACGGGGCTCAGTCCCCACCCTCTGGAGCACACAGCACAAAGCGCTCTCTCCGCCCACAGCACAAGATCCTACCATAGGCCAGGTGGCCATTCTGCCCTGGGGTCTTCTCTTTATTTATTCTAAACATGTCATTATTCCAAGTTCTGCAAAAGATGGGAAAACTTCAATAACTGAAGGAAGCCGTAGTTCATACCCCCTGTTCTTCCTGAACTACTGGTCAGTGCTGTCCACTGCTGGGCCGTGGGCACCCTGCTGCGGGGGGCCGCCCACACTGCGCTTTCCGGTCTCACTTTCCAGAGGTTTTTGTCCCCACACTTAGCAATTCTGGGGAATGCTACTGAAGCCCTGAGCAGACGAAAGAGGCAGGTACCAAGCCAGAGGCCACTGCTCTGCCCCTTAAAAGCCAAAGCCCTGATCCTCAACTTTGCCTGCATGTCAGGATTGCCATGTGCTTTTATTTTATCTTACAGTTCCATCCTGGGGTAATGCAGGCCCCGGAGGAGGTTCACATTTCGGAATGGTTTCTCTCTCCCTGCATGCTGTGAGCTCCAACAAGCAGAATGTGCTTTGCTTTAATTTTTACATCCTGGATGTTTCACAAGGAGAAGGAATCAAAATGGCTACTGACTGTGGGAGTCAGGGCCACTGTGGGATGAGCCACAGCCATCTTCCTTCTATACTTATCCTCACCCTCACTCAGCCTGCTTTCTTGTGGGTTGATTTGTTGTTTTGTGATACAAAGTCTCACTGTGTAGTACAGGCTGGCCTTGAACTCACTATGCAGCCCAAGCTGGCCTCCAACTCACAGCGATCCTCCTGCCTGAGCCTCATGGGTGCTAGGATGACAGGCGTACAACACCTCGCCCAGCTTTCAAACAGATTCTACCACAGAGTCTCTAAGATCTCCTAGTAAGTATACAAGGGCTAATAACTCTCCCTTCACCTTTCCTGTCAGTCCCTTAACAGTTGCTGCTGATTTCTGCTGCCAACTATCAGATGGCTCTTGAACCACTACCAGTTCAGACATCACCTCGCCATTTCTCCCGGCCCGGGCAGCTGGCCCTTCCTCTCCAGTGCCCGTCCCGTTCTAGCGGGTTCTCTGAACTCTCCAGGTCATCTCTCTAAAATGCCAAGCTGCCCACTGCCTCCGTCTGCACTGAGACTGAGCATCTCCCCGGAGCGGGGACCCCTTCCCTGACCCACACCCTCACTGTCACTGGTTTTGACTTCAAAGCCGCCTTGGCAGCCTTTGTCCCCAGACTCTGGCTCCAGTGGCCTCAGAGCCCTGAGACTGTCTTCAGCCTGCCAGCTCCTTTCAGGTAGATGCGGCCACCATGTGACAGAGGAGGCCGTCTGGGAGCTGCAGCCAGGCCCGGCACCGAAGCACATGAGGACCACGAGACAGGAGTATCTATGGGGTGCCCAGGCATGAGGCTTTTCTCAGGGTCAGTGCTTACTGGAGCACATCAAGGAGGGCCCTGTCCTAGTCTTCTTCTGAACTGCAGCCCTGTGTAAAATAATCTGGGGAGTTTGTTTTGTTTTATTGTGTTGTGGTACTAAGGGCTAAACTTAGGGCCTTCTCTATGAGCTGCATTCCCAGCCCCTTTTTAATTTTTTTTTTTCGTGGCAGGGTCTTGCTGAATTACTAAATTGCCCAAGCCAGACGCATACTTGTGATCATCCTGCTTCAGCCTCCCAGAGTCCTGGAATTATAAGCGCTATGCCTAGATCAGAGGTCTTTACAGAAAAAAACATCTGCAGTACAAACTAGAAAGCCAAGGCTCTGCCGCAATTCCTGGGCAAGTGGTGCCGTGCTGGCATTCCCTGCAGATGACTGGGCACCCAGGGTCTCTGGTGGACTTTGTGAAAACATCGACTGTCCCCACAGGGCGCAGCTGGTGGCCAGCATTTCCAGGCCTGTCTAGCAATTGACCACGTGACTGCACTGCCCTAGAGAAGACAGGAAAGGCACAGGGCAGAGCGCCACCATGAGCACTCATGTGACCCTCAAATGTTGTTTTGTTTTTGTTTTTAAGGGAAGAGACTTTGTTTTGTTCCACAGCACTCCTTGCGCCTCTGACGCTGCCTGGCCGTGGGATCTGGCTGCCCTGCCCTATTACCATCTACCACATGACCCTCTGTGCTCTGCCGGGCTCTCAAACGTTTTCAATAACCAACATCCAGAGCCCAGTGTCTCCCAAGCATGCTGGCCACGGGATACTTGTCCTATTAACCTAACAGTGACAGATACAGCACAGAGAACCTAATGCCCTTGTGGAATTGTACAGGGTGACCAGAGAGCATGTTAACAAGACAAGATCAACTGTGCGCAGGTCTCCCAGCGGACATCATAGTGTGGCTTCTCCAGGGCTGGGGAGGGTGAGCTGCCCATCCTGTATGTGGCCCTGCACTCTGACTGTGACAAACCTTATGGTCACACGCTCCTGAACTCACTGGGTGTATTCCTGCAAAATTCCAGATGCAAAATGAGGCATTGGAGAAATGCAAGGGTAGGTGTTATCCCAGCCCAACGTGCCACGCCGTTGCTAACGAGCATTCTCAACTGAGCACACAGTGCCAGGCAGCACACCACTTGGGGCCCTGGGCAGCCACACCAACTGGTGGCGACTGTGAGAGTTAGAGCCCAGGCACTGCGACCTGGGCAGTTCTTCATTGCATAACCTGCCGGGTTTGTACCTAGTGTCCCGAGGTCGGCGAAGGGGTCCAGAGTCTGGGGCTTGCTCTGATGCGTCGGAGTGCCGTGCGAAGACCCTGTCGGGCTGGTGGCCGCTGACTTGCTTCCCATTCCAAAGCCTCCTGGAAAGAAAAGGGCACCATGGAAAATCAGTGACTTGTCCAGGGCTGGATTCTACAATCCCGAACGCCAGAGCCACTGCTCCTTGGTCCCACCAGCAAATCAGGACAGGGTCAGAATGATGTAGAGGTCGCCGGGCTCTGTCTGACCAGGGTGAATGGGGACCAGGAGAGAGGAGGAGACTGAGCCAGAGCCTGACGCCCAGCCACACCTGAGCTGCTGTGCCTGCCTTGTCCCCTCCTGCTCATCCTCGCTAGGGGATCTGAGGTCAGCCCTGAATCCGCACCCTGACTCTGTCCCGTCCTGAGTTACCTTGGGGGTCTCGCTTAACATCTCGGAGCTTCAATATTTTATCACTATCTTTTCAAGGAAATTATACAAAACCAAACTCATAATCAACAAAAGCAAAAAGGAGACAAATGTGACATCAAACTTAAAACCTTCTGCTCCACAAGGGAACCAGTCAACAGGGAGAAAAAACAAGCTGCGAAATGGGAAAATACCTGCCAGTCACATCTAATCAGGCGCTGCAGCCTAGGGGACATTGAGAGCTCCTACAACTTAGTGACACAACAACCTGATTTAAAAATAGCAAAGCCCTGAACAGACACATCAAATGGCCACAGGATACAAACAGATTCTCGCCATCACTAATTATTATAAAAATGTAAATAAGAATACCAACATCAGCCCACACCTGTGAGGATGAGATTAAGAAAAGGCAGGCGTGATGGCGCCCAGCTGTAACCCAGCACTTGGGAGGCTGAGGCAGGACTGCTTGGCGCTCAAGCCCAGCCTGAACTGCACAGCAAGACCCTGCCTCAAACAGCCCAAAACCAAAACCAGATAATAGCAAGTGCTGGTGAGGATGTAAAGAGGCCAGGGCCTTGGTTCACTCCAGTGGGAAGGTGAAGTGCTGCAGCCCAGTGAAGAGGAGGACCACAAAAATTAAAAGCAGAACTACCACATGGTCCCGAAACTCTGATTCCTAATTCCTATGTCCGCGGAGCTGAGCGCAGGGCCTCATGCGCCCGCGTTCATGGCAGTATTAACCCCGGCAGGCGAGAGGGAAGGCAAACGCAGCCGCGCTCACCACAGGAGAGGTGCAGAAGCCCGCGACAGGGACGGCACGGCATTACTCAGCCTTTAAAGAAAAAATGCTGTCCTGTGCTTCAACACAAACGAGGCTTGGGACACAGCCACAAAGACAGCGCCTGTGAGGGTCCCCTGTACAGAGTGTTGTGATGCAAAAGCTAGGGGCAGCGGGGAACAGCCACGCGTCCTGGCAGAGGGGACAGAAAACGGGATGACTTCTACCATGTGCTCGGAAACCAAGGGAGGCATGAATCTTATGTTAGAGTTGCTTTTTTCTCACCACAATAAAATTTTTTAAAAAACCTGCTGCAGGAAGTTATGAGAAGTACTGTGTGTGTGTGTGTGTTTGGGTCTATGGGTGTGTGGGTGTGTGTGTGTGTGTGTGTGTGAGTGTCTGTGAGTCTGTGCGCACCTGCCACGTGGCTGGAAGGATCACAGCCCCCCAAGCGCTCTCAGGAAATGCCACGCTTCTATATTACGAAGACATGCGACCCCAGAACAAGCACGCTGTACAGAAAGAACAGGATTTGCATTCACCATCCACGTTAAGCCGGAAGCCACCACCAGGCTGGCTCCCTTCACCTAGAAAACTGTGTGGGATGAAAATGAGCAGCGCTGTTGTGGAGAAAAGAATGCAACGGCTCAGACGCTCCAAGAAATCCAAGGTTTCCACACGTAGTTAGAGTCAGGTTTTATCATCAAGACAAAAACTCAGCTGACAAGTCCCAGGAAAGTTTCTTAACGCACCAAGCAAGCTGGCCACCAAATGACCGGGAAGCCCTACTCAGGAAAGATGGGCGCGTCCCAGGCCTCCAGCGGTGCTCCCCATCTGCCCCAGGCAGGGTGACCTGCGGCACCAGCCCCGCGTGCAGGGAACACACCCTGCTCACGTTACCTGGTCTAGCGTGCCAGTCCCAACCTCCAGAGACGTCCGGCTGAATGTTCACGGCAGGGGTGCTAGAAGCTGTGAATGGCAGAAGGCGGAGTGTAAGACCAAGGCGATGAGCTTTGGGGCGTGACCAGGGGTCCGCCACGTGGACTTGCGAAGTGTGAAGCTTAACTAAGCGACTCGGCAGGGGCAGGGGGCCTCACTGTGTAACCATCCTGAACCTGTGCAGGAGGAGGGCACACAGACCATGGGAGTGCTGCACCGCCCTGGGGTGGTACCCTGCTTACAATACGAGGGAGGAAAAGAGGCTTGCCCTGCCCCCCTTTTGCTGTTTTCTGTCACTCTGTCACTTCATGGCCCCTGTCCCATGCCTGGAGTACTGAGTGTAACCTCCACAAACTGAGATAATTAACCTTTCCTTCCTTAATTTTGGGTGTCCAGTATTTTGTCTCAGCTACAAGAAAAAAGTAACCAAGACACAGAGATC